CTGAAGGTTGTCCTCTGCTACCATCTGTGGCGGGTTCCTGTGAGTTGCTGGAGTCCCATGTGTGGCTGTGGCAGAGCTGCAGGCAGCATGAGCTACTGTTTCAGGGTGCCCAGGAGTGGGTCCTGGGGGGATTTGCTGCTCCTGTCCTCCTTTAACACAGCTAATACAGTCGGGTGCTGCGTGGGAGCTCCTTCGCAGCCAAGTTTAACCAGAAGTTCTTTTTTCTCTTGCAGACTGCAGAACTTGCCATTTGCTTTGACAAATCTTAACCTGAAAGCCCTCTGGCTGGCAGAAAATCAATCCCAGCCCATGCTGAAATTCCAGACAGAGGATGATGAAAAGACGGGAGAAAAAGTTCTCACGTGTTACCTGCTTCCGCAGCAGCCCTCTCCCAGCCTAGGTAAGAGACTTTCTCCTCAGAGTTGCCTCCTCCTGCCTTTCCCTGGTACTGGTTACTGTGGTAGCTCTAGCAGACCAGGTGTCCCATGCCACTTTCTAAGGCAGAGGTTAATTAGCAGAAACTACTGCTCTGTCAGGCGGTGAGGGTGCTGAGGCCTAGGCTTCAGGTGTTCTTGAAGTATTTTGCTTCCCTGTTGACTGAGTAATTTGTTTTCTCTAAAGTTTGCTTCCTGACATGGCAGCGCTCTTGTGTCAGCAGTTTGATTTGTGCCTTAATCCTACCCTCTTTTTTCAATTCTTGGGTAGAGTGTGCTAAAACTGAACCCTTCAGTGCCCTTGTGGAGGCCGTTACACATCTGGGAGGAGACACACACGGGGTGACAAGATGGGGAGGAGGCTTTGACCTCAGGGCCTCTGCAGCGTGATGGCCATGGACAAATGTGATAGAACAGCCTTAATGGGATGAGAACTGTCTTTTGTCCAAGCACACAGCTCTGGTTGTTCAGAAAGTAGCTCCCAATTTGTTAACCTTCTCCCCAGAGAATCTTTTGCAGAACAGTGTGGATGAGAGCTGGACGGACACGAACTTAAACAGAGTCAGTGTGATTCAGTTCCTGGATGAGCCCAAAATGGATGATGATGATGAGTCCGGAGCTGAGAGAAGGGTAAGAAGAACAATATCTAGACACTTGTTTTCTACAGAATTATGGGGGCAATCTACATTTTTTTCCTAGTGCAAGGAGCCATTATGGTGTTCCTGTTCCAAAGCACCTGTGTTATTGCTGCAGGCATGTACTACATATGTATATGTACAAGGTTCCAAGATTCCTTGAGGAGACAAGCAGATGCAAAAGAGATTGCCCTGAGAGTCTTTGTGCAGATATAATATTGACCTTCACATTACGGGAACTGAACTGTGACTGCTGGTTAGTCTGAAGAGCACTTGGGATCCCAGAGGTCTGGGTGGTCACAGCAGTGTTGGTGCTGGATCGGTGCTGACCCCCTCTCCGGGGAAATGCAGCAGCTTCAAACTCAAACCAGACAATCTCCAAGCCTGCAGCCAGATGCAGTCCTGTGCTGTATCATATAACCAGGGAGCTGAACTTTATAACTGCAGACAGAAAACCTAAAAGCATTGGGCAGATCATTTTACTTTGCACTTTAGAGGTGCAAAGGGCAGGATAAAAGCTTCATTTTTCAACAAGTCAAATATTGGTTTAAATGTCCTGCAGGATTTCTTGCTCTTTTCATATCATTCAGAGAGTTTATCCTGAGATCTCAATCCTTTTATTAAAAGATATATGGGCTGGTCTCAGTGCTGCATCTGTCCTTACAGACATGAGATTACAGCAATGAGATTTTTTTCCTGCTGTATTAGATTTTTTTCTAGTTGTTAGTAATTGTAAAATGCTGAGTTTTTTGACTTCTGCCTCCTGGAATGGAGCCAGATGAGTATCAGCAATTCTGCTGCCTTGGAAGTTTGTCAGACATTTTAAGAAATGCCAGATGGATTGAGAAATTCCACCTGTGTATTCCTCCAGGGAATCCTCTTGTGGGTTCACTGTATCCTGGTGTTTGCTAAGGCTGTAGCACAGTTGGAACCGCCTGTCTGCATGGCTTCTCCAGCTCCCTGTTCATGAGCTGGGGACAGTCTCTGAGGAGTGTTACCTTCTTCAGCTGCATCTGCCCTCTTGCCGGCTTCGGGCTGCAGTGGAGGAGAGGCCGGATCCCACCCTGCCGTGTGGCAGTTAGGCTGGTCTCGCTGCAGCTCCGCTGCCCTGCTCCAGACTGCTCAGACTGCCTGTTCTTCCTTGGCAGGGCCTGCAGCGCCGAGCAACCCCACACCCCAGCGAGCTGAAGGTCATGAAGAAGGTGATTGAAGTGCGGCGCAATGAGGGGTCTGCAGCAAAGCCTGACGCAGACCTCAACTCTCCGAAGGCAGAAGTGAGTTCACTGCAGAATCGGTCACCGCAGAGCAGCACATAATGGATTACAGAATGGTGAACAAGTGTTTGCCAGCTGGGTAGCAATAATTCTGCGGGGGGAAAGACTGGGATGAAGATGTGGTGGTAGGAATGGTCACTGACGCGGAGCAAGAGGTTCAATGACGATCCAGAGAAGGGTGTAAAAGAAGGCTCTGATATTCTGAATAAAGAATGCTAGGAGTAGAGTATTTGCAGGGAGTGTCTTGCTGTCTAGGTGTGGTATTGCGAATAAATGCCCAAGCAGATGGTGGAACTAGGCTGGACCTAGGTGAAAAGTAGCAGACTTGGCAGGGGAGGCAGTAGCTGGTTTGGAGGAAAAGTTGGTTCTGATGGCACTGGATCATATCCCACCTCGTTCCAGTCACATTATGTTGCTCCACCTGCTGCTTTGGTTTTCATCTTGACTTTTCCAACCTCTTGTCTTCCCAGGAGAAGAGACTGAGCGGCATGTCGAACCGCAGCGAGGACTCGCACCTTTCCAACAGCACGGCCTCTGCGGAGCCTCGGGGAGAGGAGCAGGGGGAGGAGGGGGAGAGGAACTGGATGAACAGGCAGGGGCCTGAGGTGCAAGAGCTGGAGAAGGAAGTAAAGCCAAGACCTGACGAGGAGCGTAAAGAAGCAGCTGACCAAGAGGAGGAAGATGCAGAGGTGGAATACAATGAGGTAGGCCCAGGAGCTGCAGCAGGTCATGGTGAAAAAGCAGAAGGGCCTGAAAGTTTCAGTGAACGTGAGAAATGGGTGTTCAGTGAGCCATGTTGTACTGGGGGAAATGAGGCCCACAGATGCCCAAGTGCAAGTAGGTATTCAGGGAGGCCATGGAAGATGGGGGCATGGGTGACTAGAAAGGACAGCATGGGAGACAGGCAGGGAAAATCAGGACTACAGGACCGAGTGTCTTCAGTCCTTGGCACTGACGCGAGGCATAGCTGGATGAGAGAGCTATTATGGAAAAGGACAAGTGTGGTGGAACTCATGATGTCTGTTCCTGCATCTCCTGTAGCGTAGGAGCAGCCGCGCTGGCTTTGCCTGCGCTGGCGGCAGAGGGAGAGCAGCCCTGTGCTGCCTGCAGGCTTAGCTGTTATCTGGGGCTCACTGCCTTTGGGGGCTTTGCTTTTGTAGCCCACTGTACACTTTGCTGAGGACACACTGATACGGAGTGAGGATGAGGATGAAGATGAAGAAAGACCATTCCCAATGGAGAAACAGAGGCTCATCCGCAAGGACACACCCCATTATAAGAAACACTTTAAGATAACTAAACTGCCCAAGCCAGAGGCAGTGGTGGCACTCCTGCAGGGGCTGAACAGTGATGGGGTCCCCAAAGAGGAAGAGGAGTTAGGAGGCTGCAATAACAACACAGAGCCTGAGGACCAGGAGGAAGCTTGGGATGAGGATGACATCAAGAATGGAGCTTTATCCACTCAGCCCTCAGTGAAGGTAAGGTCTTGTGGCAGAGGGGGTGGTCAAGATGTCCCTCCTGCTGCTTTTAACTGCCAAGTGCGGCACCAATGAAGATATTGGGAAGAGGCCCTAGCCTAGGAGGGACATGCTCAGGGAAGAGAGTTGAAGTTCCTTCTGGAGCTGATACAGTTATCCAGTAGCCACCTTTGTTGCTCGTTTCGGAGTCCTTGGCTATGTCCAAATTCTCACGCTCCCCAGTTGTGTGCGATGTTTGTTCTGTGCTGCAAGAGTAGTTCTCTTGTCTATCACTAACAGGTTCTTTTGTTCCTTGCAATCACCTCCTCCCTTACTGGTTGTTGCCTCTCGTCTGCACCAGGGTGAGCTGTGCCCCTCGATGGATTCTCATCTCTGCAGGTTTCCGCTCAGGCTACCTGCAGTGCCTTTGTGCTGCAGCTCCTCTTTCCTGGAGAGGAGTGGGCAATGGGAGCAGAAGGGAGCACGCGGCCCTGTACCTGCCCCGGTGCGGCTGCATCCCGGTGATGTGTGCGCTGGCCTGGGGGGAACTGGTGACCTGAATTTTGCCGTTGCCCTGGGAAGCCTTTCTGACCAGGCTGGGAGTTGTTGACTCCTTGGGTTTGCTTGGCTGAATCCCTATGCTTGACCCTGGGACACGTGGAGATTTCTGCTTGGGGAAATAAGCTCACAGCAGAGTAAGAATATACTGTTGAGAAATGCATGTGGTCAGGCTGGTTTTTGGAGTTGAAGTTGCTGATAATTTTGTGAGGTTGCTTAACAGGCAAGAACAGGATGAGGCTGAATCTCCATCATATGACATCCACAAATATTGTGGATGAGATACGGGTCTCTGAAATGGGTGGAAGAAAATGCAGTAATTAATGGTTATTCTTGCTGTGTGCCCCTCTCCACCCACTCCGGACTGTTGGGATCACTTCCACCCCACACAACTGTTCAGATTGCACAGGGAAGGTTCTTGCACTCAAGTTTGCATTGAATTTTTCCCTCTGTGGATGTTTGCCTTGCTCTGTGTGCACTGGTACTTGCTCTCTAGGGACCAGACATGCAATTTCCTTGCTTTCAGAGTAAAAATAAGTTGCTGCTGTTGCTTGTAAGAACATATGAGGCCAGCTTGAGTACTCTGGATCAGAGATGTGACATTACTTGGGAAATGTCCTGACATAAAATGTTCGTTTTAGTCTTGGACTCATAACCAAGGGTACCTTGCCCCATAGGCAACACCCGCATGGACTTGAGACTGCAGGCTTGATAACTCATTATGAAAAAGTCATCTTTACTCTTTTCTAAGAGTTCTGCCTAGAAATGGCAGTTTTTCTGCTCTCAGAGCCGGATGAATGCCTGCTCTGTGGGGGCTGGGTTGCTGTCTTGCCTCCCGAGCAGTGCTGTGGAAAGGGCAGCATGGAGCAGTATCCCCATGGAAAAGAGCATCAAGGAAGAAGAGCTGCACATGTTGAAGAAGGAGATAGAGTAGGGCGTGAGGAGGCTGAGCGTTGCACCAGAGTGCTGCTTGCTTAGTTTGCTTTGCCTAGGCGGATGTTTTTGTGAGAAATTCTCAGGTTTCCTGCGTTTGGGAGCAGAATCCCGTGGCACCTGGCAGGCTGCACGTCATGCCAGAGCCTTTCCCCTTTGCAGGAGTGAGCAGCGCAATTTGATGTGGGAGAGCCGCAGCCCGCTGCCACAGCTGGGTGGCACCAGAGGACCTTTTGTGGCTGTTGAGTCCTTCCTTCCTCAGCAAGTGACTGAGCCCAGGGGCAGTAGCCAGCGCTGTGGGCACTCCGCTCCTGACTACTGGTCACCTCAGTGCCAGCACAGGCAGCACGTGGTCACCTCCTCAGGGCCTGTGCAGGCAGCGCGTGGTCACCACCTCCAAGGCACCACGTGGCTGAGGCGAGGTGGGCGCCACATGGCTGAGGTGCCGCAGGCGCCGCGCTGCGGGCCTAGGTGCCAGCAGGGCTGAGGTGCCGTGGGCGGCCTCGCTCTGCGGCTGTGGCCAGGCCTGTCAGAGCCCTGTGCGTCTGCGTGTTGGGTGGTGGTGGTAGTGGTGGCGGGTTTGGTTTATGCTCCACTAATCCGCATGCCTCTTTGCTGGTTCCTGTCCTAACAGGGGGTGTCGTTTGATCAAGCCAATAATCTGCTGATTGAGCCTGCTCGCATTGAGGAGGAAGAGGTCTGTACCATTCCTACTGTTCTCTCTCTGCCAAAATCATTCAACCTGCTTGATTTGCTTCCCAGGCTCACCCAAGGTTGTAGGGGGAACTCTGATCTATCTGGGTCAAGTGGCTTCCGGACCTGACTGATCACAAACACACGATGATGATTTTTCCTCCCCTTCTTTCACCTCCTTTCCCTCC